TGTTTGTCAAATGGTTCGGCGGTTGTAACGCCAATTAAACCGATTATCAAAGCACTCGATGTCGAGCTAATGAACTTTACTGAGCCTGTGGACGACAGTCAGTAACGGCGATCATAAAGACTGGAATGGAACAATCACTTACAGTTTATCACTAAATGAAATCAGGACAGCAATTGGAACAGGTGGGAAGAACGTTGAGACGCTTGTTAAATTGTACAGATATAAACGTACATAACGTAACACCAGCGTCAGAGAGGTCTGCAATGCGATGCATATATTGATTATTTGCGCTGTAAAATTTAAATGAGAGAGATTAAACATGAAACCATCTGGATGATTCGGTTTTGTTATTCAACGAAAGCATCGGAAATACTAGTATTGAGCTATAATGTCCTTCTCAGATGTTTAATTCATAGTTTGTATACATAATAGGTATTAAGTTGTTTTCTATGTGTATTTGTTATTAAGAAACAATATTTTTAAATCTGAAACGCATCACATCTGTGATTTTGAAATTTCTCTTGTGTTTTTAATTGTCTTTTTATCATGTTTGGGATAAATGTTTTTTGCATAACATAGTGTGTCGTGTACTATTATTAATAACTCTACATAGGTACAATTAATTCGCAATCCCGAGCTCCCTACAAACATCGATGTATAAGTCCTGCAGAACTTGGAGAGACGGGTATGGGGATTTTTGCACCATGTTATCCTTGAAAAAACAAGGTTTTATATGTTACTTTTTCAATACCAATTCCGCTGACCAAACAAGTTAAAGCCTAGTGTTTTGCTAAACTAATTCGATGTTTCGCAAACAGTGGTAAAATCATAAAAGTAACAAAAATGTAAACAAAGGCCTTGTTACATACGTATTAAAAAGTACATTTTTTTATTTTATTTTTATTTCTATATTTGTAGAATTGTTAAGTCTGTAAATGCCGGATAGTTACACAGTTTGAAATACACATTGATCTGCATGTAATGTAACTAATTTTGACTCATGATGCCGTCACATTAACATCCTCGATATCTCAAGGCATTACGCTCTCTTACCTTTCCTGACTTCTGGAATACGTCATGACGACATAAAAGACCTTATACTTTAAAAATAAAGGAGTCTGATCTCTTGATTGACATCAAAAGAATCGGACGGCACCGGCACGGTAACATTGGCCGGTTATATAGTCGGGTATCAACTTTTAAGGACAGTGACACCAATCAAT